AATTGTATCATCCCCAAGACAACCAAACATTCTCTCCATGTACATGATTATGTTACTAAAATAGTGGTAAACCAATACAAGACTAGAGGGATAAGGAGGGCAAAGGGAGAAAGGACAGAAAATCCTGGTTGCATTTTCCGTTCTCCAGCCTTTGCTACCTTAGTTGCTAACACTGTTTAACTGGCTCTGTGATAGAACACAGTTTTTGCTTTAATATAGTGCCTCAAACAAACTCAGTATGAATGCAGTGGAAGAAAGTGGGGAAATGCTTGCAAGTATGCATAACGATAAGGTCTTATGCCAAACTCTACCCTTCATCAGTGACAGTATTCAAACCTCTATGCCTAACAAATAGGAAAAATAAGGGAGGAAAAAAGCCTAATCAGTATTTGCATTGGAGACTTAAAATGTCAAAAGAAGAAGCATGCAAAATTCTGTCACACAATTTTTCATTCTCAGTTGATAAATCAAAATGCAAAAGGTGACATTCATACAAAGTAAATACTATAGATCATGTAAAATAGTTAACTCAAGCCTACAAAGACTTGTACAGAACTTTTCCAGAGGAACTGCATAAAAACAAAGCGCTAAAGCCAGTTGCTTCATCCAAAAATTATAGCAAGAAAAGCATGTTGCAGGGACAATAAATTTTGCTGATTTTCAAGACCGCACTTTGATGACAAACAGTTAAAGCACAACTCTTTCATTTATTCTGTTTCATCAAATTTCTCCACATGCCCTGTTTTGCTTGCTTCACACCTACCTTCCTCCACTTCAACTATAGGGAATTTTAATATGAGATTCTCACAGTATTGAAGAATTTTCTACCAACAAGCATATTTTATTCATAAGCTATAGCCAAACATGATAATTTGAAGAGCATACATGACCCCAGACACATTTTTAGTACTTCCTTCATCCTTACATACTCAAGGCAACATTTCTAAACCTTCCATAGAAACTGTGATGATCTAAATTATTTTATCACAGCATTCACTGTGGTCTTTTCAGATCCAGTAATTATCTAATTACATACTCCCTAGAGAGCTAACCAAACTGATCTTCTTCAGAGCTTCATTCACAGCACTTAGAAAGTCAGAAAGTTTGGTCCTGTAATACTAATGGCATTTCATACTATAGAATCAAGTTACCATACCATAAACAAAAAAAATTTTACAGTTAAAAAAATCCCTTTATCTCATGAAAGATTACACTGTTAAATAGAAAAGTTTCACCTTGCCATTGAACATGTATTTAATACCATCCTAAGAAACATGAAAATTAAATGAAAAATAGTAACTTTTTCCCCATTAACGTCTCAACCAAAAACAAGTTTGTTACCAACATGAAAGAAAATCTTAGCATTTCAATTTTTAACTATTTTGGTATGCTTGGTTTTTAACTAATCGAGACATATGTATTTCCCACTTCACACATTCTTCAAAATACAGATGGAAGGGGAGTAAGAAACTACTAGACATAACATTGTTATACAATGTACTATACAAAACCCTGTCATTTAAGTTGCAAGAAACCTAGTCATCAATAAGTGAAAAAATACGCCGCTCAAAAATCAATTATGTTGAGTCTTTTGTATAGAGAAGTAGTACACCTTTCAGGCAACTGGTATTAATGAGCAGACATGGCTATAGAATCTCCATCTGTTTTTCTGACAAAGCTGTGACTACTCCAGTCTCTCATTGAAATTCCATTAATCTGGTGCACCAAGGACCAATGCGAAAATCAAAACTCCATCTAACCCTTTATCAGCTCACAATAACCTACAAGTGAACTCTGCCTGTTAGCATACAGCAAGTTATGATTTTGCTATCAATCAGGCTGTTAGCCAATAAAAAAAAAAAAAAAAAAATCAAGTTAAGACCAGAGTGCCTGGCAATGTTGTTTTGTTCTGTCTTGTTTTGGGGTTTGTTATTTTATTTGGGGGTTTTGTTATGTTTTATCCCTCTTCCAGTTTCTGTAGGGTATCTGGACATGTAAGCCTATGCATCATTCTCCTTCCTTGTGATTTAATTGCTGCCAGCAATCAAGTCAAAGCATCACTGAAGTGTGCTTGAATTTCATTAGATGATATAACTTATGCTACTTTCCTACAGTACCTAATAAACCATAAAGAAACCAAAACACATATGGCTTGAGGGAATAACTGGAAAATTAGGTGGCCATTTGGGAACTGAGTGAACTTTTGAACCAGGGGAACAGAGAAAAAGAAATATTAAAAGGAAAGACAGACTTAGAATGCACACAGAGACGTGGGGGTTTGACCTTTTCAGTACCTAGAAAATTACATTAGCATTATGAAAAATACATATCATGTTTAGAGTTTATAATCCATCAAATTTTAGATACTTTGTTAGTGCCTACCATAAGGTAAAAGTCAAAAGGACAACATAACAATCGGATTTGACAAAAGGCCTTTAGGTGACCTGTGCTAATTTAGTTATCCCATACTTATTGTTAAATGGATTATCTCTCTTGTAATTAATACACCATTAGGCAAAGGTCACACAAAAACTCCAGGATTTTACAATGACTGTAATATACACGTAATACACTAATTCGTTATCTGTTACCAAGCGGGTGCCTTCACGAATTATGTTTTGACAGTAATGCTGCAAAGTCAAACAGCAACACTTTCACAAGTCAAGTATATAAAGGTAAATGACTGTTTTGGTTTGGGTTTTTTTAGCAGAAAATATATACAGAAGGTTTTACATGAAAACAAGGATGGACTCAACGATAAATAAAGAACACCTCAGTTTGGTTACCTACAGACAGACACCTCTGCTAATGCTGCGAGTCTTGATCCTCCACAAATCAGGTTTTACACCTGCACAGAGCCCTGCTCAACTGAACTGGTAACCATGTAAGATCAAACACGTATGTTACAGACCCAGCTTCTTGAGTAGGATTTAAATATTGAACATTAACAGACTGCTAGAGAACAAAAATACAGTATTAAGCTTCAACAAACCCACTCGGGCCTATAAGAACTGAAATAAATGACACCTCCCAGGATCAATCCACCTCTTACAAGATTTTCCCAACATACATTTTCATACATAGTCTAAGTGGCTGGATTTGAATGGTGGATTATATAGGTTAAAATCAAAATGATTTTAGAATGACACACTGGACATTCAAAGAGGAAAACAGTAACACTGCACCAATAAATTTAAGATATTTACAGATCAAAATTTACCACCTTCTCTCAACTTTTCTCATGCTACACTCTCACTAGGTAATTAAAGAGGATTTATCACAAAATACAGAAATACCAGTGAGGTAAAATCACCTTAAATACAGCAGAATCATACCCACTATATTTCTACCTAAACTGATATGAATTAACCAAGCTATTGTTGAGCAGCTATAACACCTAGTCTCATAGCCTCCAAAACAGGCTAAAAATTAATCACCCATCTGTACAAATTCATAGAGTATTTCACATACTCTTGCATCAGCATTCTCCAACCATTCATTATTTAGGTTTATGAGCATTGTCACTTTTTTCTGGATTAACTGTTTTGAAACAATTCTGTAATCATATCTCCTATTAAATAGTCATATAATCTTGTCACATACCCTTTATACAATCAGTACCGTGTTATTAAGTTACAATTAGAAATAATGTTAAGATTATGTTTGTAAGCGCAAATAAATACATGGAAAGTTGCCTTCATCTGTAGTTTTGAAAATAGCTTGGGCTTTCTAAAAGTCATATTCAATTTGACTGATAATTACATTTCAACCAGACAGCAAAAAGGCCTGGTTTTATTTTTTTAATAAAAGGTCACATTGCCAACATGCAATATGCCTAATATATTTTAAAAAAAAAAGTGTGATTATTATTGTTACACATTTTACAGAGTTCTGGATATAAAAAAAATTGTGTAATTCTGAATCAGTGGTTAGAAGGTTTATCACTTATGCATGTACTTGACTTATCCCTGTTCTGCAATAGACATAATTTTATACCTCATAAAAGCAATTTATGTTTCCAAAGGGAATAATCTGGATAACATAAAATGTGGAGTGCTATGTTGCAGGAAGCATATTTTCATTCAGCAATTGTATTTTGAGATGGAGCTGCACAGTTTGATCATCATATCATGTCAGAAAACATCATTCACTAGTAAGTCTATCTAACTTTTAGCGTCACAAATTAATATACATCGTTAATTCATTTGTACATATACTTAATTTATTGCCATATATTATCCATAGAAGGTATTTGCATTATGTATACAATAAACGAATCTCAAAAATATGGACACTATGCTAAAGCAAGCTTGTTAACTGTTGAAATATTCAATTGTTCATGTCTTCAGAACAGTCCCATTTAGCATTAAATTTAATGAATACAAAATAATACAACATGGAAAACAGCTATGGACCCTACTTTTTTTTTTTTTAAAATGCAAACTCAAATTTAAAATTTATATAACAAAAACATTGTACAAAAGACTGTCCTAATGGAAGGAAACATTGTAGGAATAATTAATTTAATATTTTATGAACCTATTCTGCATGGAGTTTGCAGAAAAGTATCAATCACATAAACTGTTTCATTATTTATTAGATAAATAATACAGTAAGCCATTAAGTAGCACAATAAAATTAAGCAAGAATCTGATAATGTTGAATTAACAAACAATTTGTTACTACAAATATTCGCACTGTTTTAGCCACTGATCTATCTTTAAAACCATATGCATCTACAGAAGATGCTTTGTTACTAAAAAGCATGAGTTTAAAAACACCATATAAATTCGAGACAGCTTCACTATGCTCTAGGACCGCTAGAGAGAGCTCTTCAGTTCCTTTAAAGGTTCCTGAAAAGGTAAGAAAACTGTCCAGCTGTGATGCTTATCTGTTTATCTGATTTCCAACACTAACATTTGCATCACAAGGATCCGATTACATGCGTTTGTAGCAAACTGGCAAATCTAGTACATTCTAAGGTAAACAGTGTCACATACCATCAGAAGGTGTTTCATCCTCTTTATCACATCGGTCAGATGCTATTGAGGCACTATCAGGAGGCGAAGAAAAAGAGTTCTCAGCCTCTTCCTCATCTTCCAGTTCTGTAAAAGTCAAAAATACATTGCTAGTTATTGCTAGTCTATCATGCAAACACAGGCAGAATAAAGGTATTTTCAATAGTAAGGAGGATATCAATTTCCATCTGAAATGGAAAAGATGCCATTTCTCATGGACACTCATAAAAGCTCCTTGTAGGCTCCAGCACAGCTGGGAGCACTGCTGTTCTAGGGCTGAATTCTGACCAGCCACATACATGTTGGTGGAGTGGTTTCCTAATGTTGTCATGTAATGAACCCATTCCCAGCACTACACAGCTGGCAGCTTCTCACACAGGGGAAAGGAGCACACACCACAGCAAAGGGGTGGGCAAGGGAAAACACTGCCAGAAGGAAAAAAGGAGAGTGACAGGCTTCAAAGTTCTGCCTGGCCAAGCACAGGATGGACCTGCAGCAACTTTCCCTCCCAGGAAATGCTAAACTACAGTAGTTCACCTCTGCCCACTTTCCCTTTCCTTCACCATAATTACGTGCTGTTTTGCCAGTTTTTATGTGCATTCCCTCTATGAAACTAGAAGTGGAATCACCTTCTGACAGCACCTCATCTGAACCTGTGGCTTACTGCAGCATTCTGTTCATGAATTTCTTATGCAGCTGAAGGGCCCACTAAAATAGATACAAAATCTACATTATCAGCTAACCTAATGCACTCTGATCAGTGTCAAGCATAAGTGTGAAGGTCTGGGAAAGGTAAAATGAAATCAATATTAGTCGAGGCTTTCATCTAATTAGACAAAATATAAGTTCTTCCTCCCCAGCTGAGTATGTTTTCTCAAATATTTTTAATACATCTAGGCAAAGAAGAGGTAGAAAAATAACAAACTACATTGCTTCTATTAAAAAATTAAAAATTAAGTCTTTGTGAAGGAGAAAAACTAAATATCATAAAAATCACCAGACGAATCCTAAAGTTGATGTCCCCATAGATCAAATGACCCTCAAATTTCTTAAAAAACATGTAACACTTATGGAAAGCTTTCCAGAGACCTCCAGATATCCTCCTTTATTCAAGCCTTCCCTTTTGGAGCACTGTATCAGAAAACTGATTTCTCAGAATCCAAAATTAATCCCATGCATAGTGGAAATATTCTTCTCCACAGACATAGGAATTTCATTCATCAGTATGACTGCCTAATCATGGCTAAGAGTTTTAGCCCTTCCCACTTAATAATGGAAATTAATGGAAAATTCAAGGTCCATGTCCAGAAGGCACCTTGATTGTTTGCAAAGAACAGCAAGTTTTCTATGCAGATGAGACAACAAAGCCCAATATTTACCTTGCTGGAGTTCCTTTACATCCCAAGGTTGTTGAATACCAAATTGGTTTGCCCTTTGTTAGTTTAGCATGCTTTTCTTGGGAAAGCTTCCTTTCCAGCTCCCATGCCATTTAACAACTGCTCTGAATCTGAACCTGACTCCAATCTATTTTTGACACAGCCCTCTTCCAGCAGCATGCCAGTCATCGTGTTAATCTGATCAAAATGTTTGCATTTCATCACACCTGTCAAACCAATCAAAAGTAAATTATCCCTCTTCAGGATTTGCCTCTTCCTCCAAACAGAAAACCACAGAGCAGATAGCACATGAACCGAAAATATTATGCCATATTTACAACCAGCATGATCATTTTTCACACTTACATTCCAGAGACCAGTTGCCTGTCTCTCTCTGTCTATATATA